CTGAAGAAGAAGAAGAAGAAGGAGAGAAGAAGGAGACAGGTGAGTTCAATTATTCTTTATGTTGATGTTCGTTGACTGACTCCCTGCTGTGTTGATGTTCCGGACTGACCAGGTTTTATTTAACGGCTCTTTAGGAGAACGAGGCGATACAAGTTGTGCTTGGGAACCGTTGTTTTTATTATTCCCTATCATGATCTGCCCAACTTCCATCCATCCCAATCCAGCCATTCACGTGAATCCATTCACTCCCCTTCTCATGAGCAGAGAGAATCAGGCAGTCAGAGTGAGAGCAGCTATGTTGCCGCCATTCAAGACAGAAAACACACTTTTTGTAGCCTCTCTCCCTCCTGCACGTCTAGAGAGAGAGAGAGAGGGCGCCGTGGTTGAGTGAGCTACAGAGTGAATGTAGGATTTTTCTGTATTTAATGCACCCAGAGTACATCTCTTCCTTGTTTTTTTTTTACTATTATTCTTCTTCCTCATGTCTGTTCTGAGGCCCCTGTGCTGAGCAAGACCCTCTGCGTTTAATCAGAACGGCAAGATGCATAAAAAGACACCAATGAAGAGCCGTCTTTTTGAGCGGCTCTTTGAAAGGAACGGAGCCACAAGATCCCTTTAAAGAGCCGTAAATCCCATCACCAGTGTGACTCTCTTCCTCCTGACTTTAAGTTTCACTTTCACTTTACCCCACAGTTTCTTTTAATGATACTGTTGATAGAAGTGAGTCGGGTAATGTATGAAAAGTCTCCTCAACTCGCCTCCTCTTTGATTGTGTTACAGAGTCTTTCATATGTTGAGTGATGTGGTTGCAGAAACTGTAAAATAGGCCTTAATGGTCACATATTATGCATAATACACGTTTGTACGGTGGCTGGGAAGTGCAAACCAAAATTCCAAAGTGTGAAACACTTTTGCAAAGCACTGGCCACCGTACATTTGTCTGTATTACCGTGTATGACTGATCTCAATAGAGCAAAATAAAAAAAAAACAAATTCAGTCCAGCATCAGATCCTGTTAAAGCACACACCTCGTCATTATAACAACCAGCTATTTATAAAGAAATAGGACATTAGCACCAAAGAACATTTGCATATTGTTGTTCTCTGATTGGCCCACAGAGAAAAAGAGGAGGGGGTGATGAAGAGGAGGAGGGAAAAGTGATAAAAAAAACAAACAGAATCATATTTGAGAGGGTTAGACGCTGAGAGATCCTGATTTTAAGTGGGTCAAGCTCTACAAACACTGGATCCTACATTTCCCATGATGCAACCTGATATCGTATTTTCATGAGCTTCTAACCCTTTATTTAATGCACGTTCTGTTGTAAAAAAGGATTTACGAGTCTCTCAACGGCAAATTAGGATAACCATGATGACATCACTGTGACACTGTAACTGCTTTCATAGGCTTAAAGGCACAGTATTTAAATTCTGCCACCAGGGGGCTCGAAAAAAAACAATAACAAAAGATGACGTCGAGGCTAGCGGGGAATCATGGGAGAGATTCTCTCCGCTACTCAACTTAATTTCTTCATTATTCCTGTTCTTTTCTACATATCGTGTTGTATTTTATTGTACATATCATTGACATGTTTCTTCCTTATATTTTACATCTACATGCTTCTACTTGCTATCTTTGGGCTTTTATCCAGTTTAGGAGCAAATATAGAGCATACATTTCTCAAGAAGGGATTAATGAAGTATTTCTGATTCTGATTAGTTGTCAAGCTGCTGAACGTTTCCTTAAAGTAAAAGATTCTGCAAAATAAAAACATACACATGATCAGAAGTAGGTATAATAAATAGGATGGAGGTCAAGAGGTCAGAAGGATGAAACAGATGTCGATGTAATTTATCGTACAGTCCAGTAAACACTGTTCATTTCTTGTGTAGAATGACATCTGTCAGCAACTAACAGTATGTGCATCTCATTAAAGATGGGCGCCAGTCCCAGAGGGAGAAAACCCTCGAGGGAGACCATAAAGAGATGTTCTTCATGTTGCAAAGACTAGAGACCAGACAGGAAGCATCAAACATAATCAATAGAAGAGACACATTTACACAGTGTGGAAAATAGACTTCTTGACATTTAATGTTTGTGATTACTCGACGTGTGAGTCTTAATTTCTCTCTGCAAATCTCACAGTGAGACGTCAATTAGACGGTTATATAAGGAGGAGATTTCTATTTCTTTTTTTATTAAAGATGCAAAAAGTATACAAATACAACCTGATGTAACTGAATGTAACAACAACAAACATAACGCAAGGCTGAGTAACACAGTGCAGGAATGGAATTATGTACTTTGACATTTCTGTCAGGACTCTGCCCAGATTATAACTTTAATTCACTCTTTGTTCTCCGTGATTAATGTATTAGATCCATTGCTAAATTGATTTTCTGATCAGCAAAAACTCCTGAGGGCTGAGAAAATGTTTCTCCAAATCAAGTGCGAGTGAGGACAATAACTAATCAGCCCTATTTGTTTTTTTATACCAGGCTGTAAACATATTAATTTACGGCTTTTTTTGCTTGTGGCTTGTATGTGACTTCCTGTGTTCCTGCAGCCAGCCTCTAGTGGACACTCGATGAAATGCAGGATTTTGCACATCCGCTTTGGCTTCATTTTTCAACACCGCAGGTTTCTGCTTGGTTAAACTTTTTCCCACTGTTCCCAACAAATGTCCATCTCCCACATTCACTCACACTGCAAACACTCTCATCTTAAGTGTACTACTAATCATTGAATACAAACATCCTATATTAAGAAAAATAACAAGTACATTTAGCTAACTTCACTCAGTATGTTCACATGATGTGAAAAGAAGTTGATTAATCGTTTAAGTCAAACTAAACTAGATTTAACAGAGAGAGAGAGAGAGGGAGAGAACCACAGACGAGGAGACACAGGAACTTATTATGTCAGCTGGAAGACTTCAACATATTGAAGCACAATATATTGTCTGAGATGTTTGTTGGTAGGATGTAATAGGTCAACCAGAAGGTAGTCCATTAACTAGCTGAAAGGGGTTATATTTTCTTCTACTAGCAGAGCCGGTCATAACTCTGTAGATAATTAAATTCTCTCCTGTTGCCTGTACACTGAGACGAGGAAATACGATCTCTCACTAGACTTGTCGGAGGGATGTGACTTATAAAGAGATACTTTTGACCAGAAATTAGAATTTTTTGCTTGCTTTGCTTGCATTTACATTTTTTGCAGTGCTTCTACTTCCATGATCACTAGCAGTTTATTTACCCGTCTTTAGCACATCGTCTCGTGTGCATCCGACTAGTTTCCCTCCCTTCATCCTGCCTGTCTGACCTGCTGCCTGACCCTGCTTTTAATTGGAGATTGGCTGACATAATTGTCTAACTGGCTATGACCTCTGCCGGCCTTTTTGAACAAAGTAAACTTGGACTGTTTATCTCAACATGCTTGTTTAAACGTGTACTGTTGCAACAACATGACAACAGACTCAAAGACAGAAGCATGGGATTTAAAAAAAAATATATATATATATATATATCACATCGCTTGAAATCCTGGAACCCACCAGCTCGTGTCACAGTGTAGCCTGTAGGAGCGATGGCCAACTTTTCAGGGCTTACATTGTACACAGCAATTAGTCATGATAGATATCGCCAATATCACATCGCTTGAAATCCTGGAACCCACCAGCTGTCGTGTCACAGTGTAGCCTGTAGGAGCGATGGCCAACTTTTCAGGGCTTACATTGTACACAGCAATTAGTCATGAGAGACGTCTCGCCAAGGCTTCATCTTTCATGCATTCACTTTGTTTAAAGTCCAACTCACAACTTGAGAAGCAAGAGTGGGGTTGGTGTTCAGAGACGTCTAAGAGAGGATTATAAGCTGCACTCGTTTGCACTGTTTTAGGACATTTATGAAAGCTGAAGCCCTGTTAGATGACTGTTCCAGGTTCCTTTGCATTACAGCGGATTGGGCTCCTGCCTGTCTTCTGTCCACACAGACACTAGTGAGAATGCTCCTCATATTACAAACTAAACCCATGGCTAAATCCAGACCTGAGCCTACAGATGTTTATGCAGATCTTTAAAACAATATATCGATCAATATCACAACATACATTATCCCATAACAGTTCAGATAAAAAGCAGGCCGAGATGGTACTCTTTGTTAGCTTCTTTGCAGAGACCTTACATTAATTTGCCATGGCAAAAAACCTTTTCACAGGCAGAAACCTCGAGCAGAACCAGACTCATCGGTGAACAGCCATCTGCTGCAAACCTGATTAGCTGAGAACGATGTACAAATGGAGAGACAGTTATGATAAAGTGGTTTTGGTCTCTACATATAATTTATTTATACCTTAAAAAAATGAATGGGGTGAATATTTCAAAACGTATCTGCTTTGTTTATATTATTGGGCTGATTTGACTGACAGGTGGGCGTGTTTGAGCTGTTTTCCAGGAGGCTAAAACTCAACTTCACCTCTTTGTTTCCAGGTTATCTCAAGTTAAGCAAGGTGTATACTTGGGTAGTGGGTGGAGCCTGGTGTTTTTCTTAACCATAGAAGTTTATTTAGTGTAAAGTCTGTCAGTCTGTCAGCTTCCGTTAGCCTGTGTCTCTTCCTGTCATCTCATTTAATGATGAGTTCTTCACTCAGAGGGATTTCCTGCTGTTTGGGCGACGTTTTACTGACCCAATCATTCCCCGTTGTTCCAGCCTCGCTCTCATTCCCTGCGTTAAATTAAACTCTGTGAGCCCAGCCGGGGGGGAAGATGAAGAAAATGAAAGTCTGTACAGGCCTGTAATACATAACCAGGTAATCAGTTCTCCCTTTGGAGCGGCAGAGCAGCAGTGTGATTGTGATAGCCCGTTAGCCCCCAATTATCAAACCAATTTCCTATTGAACAGCAGCTCCCCTCAGCCATGATACTTAATTAAATCCTCACAACCTCTATCATGATGAAGAGCGAGAGAGTCCTCCTACAGAATGAAGAAATACTTCAAGT